TTTGCATCTTTGTTTTTGAGCCAGGGTTTTTCTAAACCATAAAGCAGCTTCAAATGGAAGAGCAGCATCTTTGCATTCTTGATTTCTTGTCTGATCATTTCTCCTTTGTTTTTTGAGGTGTTTCACAGGCGTTCCTCTATTTAAACCAGCCATGTCATATCCAGTCCTATCCTCTTTCCGGAAGGAAAGTTCTCAAACTGACCCAGCGCTAGTGGAATGTAAACATGAATAAATTATTACTGTCACCCGGATATTTGCTTTCCCCCCTTTATGTCATGTGGCATCATAGGAAAAAGAGTCTCTGCTATGCTAGGCAAATATTCTCATATTGTTATTTCTTTAATCCCTACCAAATCACAGATAGAAGGAGAAAGGCACCAGGGAGAGGTGCTTTGGGGCCTGGAGTGTGAGGAGAGAGGACAGAATGTGTAGGATATTGTGTCTGATGCTTCTTTGAGAAACATGTTGTTGAACCCTGGAGGAGTAAACCCACCAATCAGCTTTACTGGGCAGAGGGAGCTTGTTAAACTGGCCCCGCTCGGCGCCCAGAGTGCACTGTTTAAAGTACAGTTGACAGTCACTCTGAAGCACTCTGCATCCATTTGCAAGCTCTGGGGTCGTGACCTTCCATTGCTTCTTTGTTGTGGTTCAGTTGAAGTGCATAGCAGGTTGCCTTTGTTATTGAAACAAAGTTGCAAGTATTAAATGACTTTCTTTGATGCCCCTTTTTTGTGACCACTGTTATGGCATACAAAGAGCAGTGACTTCATATTATGAATGTCTTCCCCCCTCTGTTCTCCACAAGAAAACGAGAGGATAAATTGCAGCCCTTATGGCATTCAGTTAACTATTATTCTTATTATTTTTGATTAAGTTGCGGTATCGCTGTATTGAGGTTTCTTCCACTGGCACAAAGGCACAGAGGCCTGTTATCAGCTTTATGGTTCTGGTAAACAATAGAGGGTAACACAGCAGGGGCTTAACCAATAAACTCTGATGTTGTCAAGATACAGCATCCTGCAAGCAAGAAGCTCAACTAAATAGTTGTGTCAAAAAAGATTAAGTAATCTGACCTTCCTTATTTTTCAAAGGGAATTCCACAGTAGCAGAGAGAACGCAGGGAAAATGTGCTAGGACTCTTACTCTTCTAGAACATGAACAACTCACTGCTCTGCCACTGGTTTCATTTAGGTTCAAAAATTGCAACTAATTGCAGCTTGTTTTCTCTCTACAGTAACTGTCACTTCTGTCAAAGATAAAAACAAGCATATATTTCACCATGATTTGAAAGCCACAACCCCAGTTAAAACGTAATGCACGTGCGGTAATTTGTTTTTATTTGGAAGAAAACATGACATAGTTACAAGTCTGCCTACAATTTGATTCTGGCTCTCAATGACAAATCTGTCCCCACATACTTCAATTTCTTTGAACAACTCTTTAATTCTCTAATAGTGTCAAGTTGATGAACTCTTTCACGCAACACTGATGCTAAAGTTCTTTTTTATACTGTTGCTTGGACCCATCTCCCACAATTAGCAAACTTAATGTCACTCAGCCAACCTTTCTATTCACCAATACTTTGATTATGTCACTATCAAACATCTAAGTATTTTTGAAAATGCTGTTCATATTTAAATATTCTGTCTGCATTTGTGTTTCTATCATGTAATTTCAAATGCGGTTCATTCTTTTTCTTATCTCTTTCCATGGCATGTCAAGCTAGTAGCAGAAATATTTCTCAAAATCATAGTTTTGCTCTGAAGTCTTTTGTGTTACCCTGATATAATTACCAGTCTTTTTTTGCGCTTTCTACTTTATTGCATGCCCCTAACATTTAGTATATACTTTGCCTGGATTCAGACTTCATTGGGGATATGTGGTTTTTAAATGGACCCTTTTGAAATGAATGATAGTCACCTTTGCTACTTGGACTGTATTTATTATATTCTTTCCTACCGACTATCATGGATTTCCCTACTGTCTTAAAACATTCCGATTTTCATGTTCCCTGATCTCTGAACCTGAATTGCAACCTACTTTTCATTCGTCTGGAAACAATCAACTGCATATGTGTTATTCAGAATGTAAAAGCTATGTTGTCATATTCAACTAGCGAGCCAACACTGTAAACGGGTGGCATTTGGATGATGTGACATTTGCTTCCACATATTAGCCTTCCTCTAGCCAAGCTGTTCTGAGTTACACTGACAGAAATAGGGGTCAGAAGTCGTACAGATGCGCTCTGATATGATTGGCACTTGGGAGACTTATGGTTTCACACTTTGGGCATTATCCTCCATTTTCCAGAATTTTCTGCCTTGAGACTGAAGGGGATGACTTCATGACTGGCTGACTGGGGCTGGGGGGGGGGCTCTGTGTATGTGTGTGTAGTCGCACGTTCATGATCACGATCAACCAAGTCCAGAGAAAGATTGCATTGGGATCTGGAAACAGCGCTTCAGAGCAGCCATTATATAATATAATAGAAAGTAATGGTTGGAAAAAGGGGATTTCAGCTGGGACTAGGCCTGTATTTGCACTACATGTTTGTATTCTGAATTTATTGCTCTCTGTCAGTGAATAAATTGGCAAAATGTTAAAGCATATAGACTAGAGACCATGTCTTCTTTGTATACCTATTCTCTTTATTAGAAGTGTAAGCACTGTGAGTCTATAACTAAGGTCAGAAACACAGGGAATTATCCAGTTGTGTGTTTTTCAACTCTAACTGAGATCAAACCTTCAAAATGCAACTGACTTCATGTGTGTTTATGTGTACTTGTCTGTGAACCCATTGATCGCATGTGTTGATTCAAACTATATGGACCAGTGTGTGCTGGGTATGTTTTCTCATTGTCTCTTTTCCTCTGCACCCCCCATTTGTGCTCCCTATTATCCCTCATTCCACTTGTAAGCACATCTAAAAATAGACCAAAAATTTGCTTAGGGGGCACTCTCTTAGTAGTGGTGGTTAAAAAAAAGACGGGGTATTTGCTGTAATTGTAAATGCATGTGTACAGCCTCAGCTTGGGAAGAGAGACAGAGAAGCGTAAAGAGTATCTGGCAGTTTCTCCTGGCGCTTGCTCTTTCCCAGCTGCACAGCAGCTTATTTGTCCCTTTCAACGTGGGGCGCTCCTTGGAGTGGTCATTTTTCCTTTGCCAAGTACCTTTTTGAAATACCTCCTTACCTCAATACAAGTTTCACCCGCTTAACACAACACACATGGAGACAGGTCCAGGCTCTTTTCTGCCTTCTCTCCCCTCCCCATTGCTTGGAAAATCTTACATTTCTACAGAAAAGGAGTGCACACATCCTGTCCTCATTAGGCCAGGGAAAGGAGAAGAATCTGGCAGAGTCGATTCTATAGAAGCCCCACACATGAGCCTGGCCGAATAGAACAGGCAGGCAGGCATGCATGCTGCTGTGTTTTATATGGCTCTTGTTCTTAGCCTTTGATGACACTGTTTAGAATAGGAAATATCTAATAAGTCAAGTATTCTGTCTAATGTCCTGCCAGTGGGTTTAGTATTTGCCTAGAGGTCTTGAAACACTATCTCCACCACAGCAATAATATACATTTAAAATTCTCATGTAGCGAGTGGGAGGGAGCGATGTAGAGAAAGGGAGGGGGCATCTGAGAGAACATGTTATAATAGCTACCATGTGCAGGTTGGGGCAGACAAGGGTGGGATAGGATGGGACACACCTTGGTTCTTTTGAAAACTGAATTTTTCAAAAGGCAGCCGTAGGTAATTGAAGCTGACACTGAACCCATTAACATGTAAGAGAAACATGTTTGATATGTTATTGGACATGATGATGATGAAGAAACCCCCAAGTTTCTTCATGATGCAGCTGTCAAGCGTGATAGAGCAATCAGAGGGCTGTTCAAATTGATTGAACAGTAACAACCTTAAATGTTGCAATGTGCCTTGAAGTGGCTGTTCTACAAAAAAATCTTCCATACTCAGGAAGTGTTTGACAATATTTTTTACCCTCCACATAAACATGTCCAGTAGTAATTACCATTTTCATATTTTTCTCCTTATTTTTATTTTCAAATATTTGTCTCATTCCTGTCCCATGGGAATCAGTGGCAGTTTCTCTTTAGCCTTGGGGATGGCATGCTTTAGTAGCAAATACAATATTTCTATTTTTATTGTTGCTTGAAACTAAGCAACCTTCTCACAATGATTTATAGCATCTGTCACTGAAAGCTTTTTATTGCCACAACAGCTGAAAGTCTCCCGATATCCGTTAGTTGGAGTCAAGCATAAAATCTCAGCTGCTTTATACACAATACCACAGTCAGTGCATGAAACAATTTGCTTTGCTGGGGTGAGGCTCTTTTCTAAAGACATGTCCAATATTGCAAGAAGTGCAAAATGATTTTTTGACCACAGAAAAAGTCCCAGAGCATGCCTTTAATGTCTGTGGTTATGTGATGCTCTCCCTCTTTGGTCAATTTGTCCATGGTCTCAATCAAGCAAGTTATTTGGTTTGTGTCCTCTTGTAAAGCCTGGATCCAAACAAGAAACAAATTTTCCCCTTCAAAAAAGAGAATAAAACCTTTTCATCCATTTGTTTGATGCTCCCTACCCCCTTCTGTAATACTCACAAACCGTATTGGTTTGGTTTGAGATAAGGTACTTTGATTTAATGCAAAATGAATTGTGTTCATAAAGATGTTGCACATGTTTAGCTGCTTGTTAAGTTACACAGGTAGCCGTTCTCTGTGTGTACATGACTGCATGCATGTTTCAACACACATTTTACAAGAAACACAAAAACTTGGGACCCTCTTGTCACTCTGCCTTCTTTTTCAATTTGATTGTTATTGAAAATCACCATTTCCTCCTATAACATGGAAATGTAGCCCTTAGTCTACAAAGCTAGCAATCACAGCACTATTTTTTTACAATGACGCCTTCATCCCCGTCTTCAGTTGATTTCAATGTGAACATGTCCTTATACCTTTCATTGTATTTATGTACAGGTGCGTCGACATGAGAAGAAGCATGGCAGTCGTGACCCTGCAACGGCTGTTGACATCTCATCACGTCACAGCGGAACTGGGCAGGACAGCGGCTTTGGCAGCGACAGTGCCCGCATCCGCATCGTCCAAATAGAGCAGCAGAGCGGGGCCAGTCACCACTGTATCGCTAGGCCCTCCCACAAGTCCACCATCACCAAGAACCTCAACTTCATCCCTTTTGACATCTTTCTCACGGCTAGTAGGTTGTCTATCATGACTTACTGCTCCAGTTCCTCAAAGGTCCTTCCCTCATCGTCTGACAGCCCCAGCACACTGGAGAAGAAGGAGGCTGAGGATAAGGTAACCAAAATTGGGGAACATAGAATATGTCAGGTGATTCAGTACCTGGATCTGTCAGAAGTATTCATTCTATACACAACAGCAAAATGTGTTATTTATGTTAGCACTGGTGTGGTTTATACAGGATTAAAAGTTCACCTTTTTTACTTCATGAGTTTAAGAACTCATGCTAAAGTAGATGTAGATGCTAAAGATATTTTTATACAGTCTATAGTACGAGTAAATATTGTGCTGTAACTTAAATGTGTACAGTACAATTAGTCATTGTTTTATACCCTTCAAACAGTCCACGTTTTAAAGGTCTCAAATAATATCAACTGATCCTTCTCCATCTGCTTTAGGTGGGAAAGAGTGCCCTCAACCAGCCTGAGATCCTGTCTGAGTCTCCTCAAGCCTCTGCCTCGCCGACTCCAGAACCTGCTCCTGCTGCACAGGGTTCCCTTGCTGGCCTGACAGCTGAAGACATCTTCAACAGCAACACCTCACAGCCAGCCTCCCCACTCCTGAGAGGCAGCCTGCTCTCCATGAATAGTCTGCCTACTCCCAGTCGCTCCTCAGCCCGCCAGGCGCTGGGTGTGACCATAGTGAGGCAGCCAGGGAGAAGAGGAGCTGGGGACCAGGTGTTAGAACCCCTCCTTTATCTCCAGGTCATGCAACCATCTGCTCTTCTCAGCTGCCACCACCGCAAGCAGAGGATGGAGCTGTCTGTGTTTGACGTGGTCTTAAGAGGAGTAACTTCTGACTACAAGTGCCTTGGTGAGCTGGAGCACATCGAGATATTGGCTCTCTAAAAAAACAGGAAACGTTACTTTGCTACTAACCCATCATACCAACACATACAGACATAGCAGACTAGTAAATGTAAATTATCTTAATGTAAAATATGTCAGCACACTTTCTTTATCTGTCGTGTTGTCTTCCTTTCTCACTGCTCCTTCTCTCCTCCTTTTTCTATTTATCTTTTCATCTGTCTTGTGTTTTTGCAGACCCAGGAAAGACTCTTCCAGAATCTCTTGACTACAACGTGTTTTGGCTGCAGACAGTAGCAGGAGAGACAGACAGTAAAACGGGCATTCCTCCCCCACTGCTCTGCCTCCAGATCAAAGATTTCCTCAATGGACCAGGTGGGGATCACACACACACACACACACACACACAGACAGATACACGCTGGCGTGCACGCACGCACACACTCACTAGTGTTCGACACAACTTCTGTACACTCACATTAACATGTTCATTTACATGTGCATTGGCATTGTAAATGTTATTTGGGATGTTTTGGACCGGATGGCTAATATCATTCACTTTCAACAGCAAACTACAAGCTCCTGTAGATTTAAGTGTGTGCGAAACATCTAACATCCAGAATGCCTTTCACAGGGTCTGGTCTCTCCCTATTTTTAGACTGATATGATATCCATATGAGTAGCTTTAAGGTTGCTGACCTAAGGGTGTGGCTGACATTTTATCCAAACAGAACTGCAATGAATAAAAGTGTGGGCTACAATGTGAACGCACAACCTTCTTATTCATTTGAGGATTTCACGGAGTGTGTGTAGGCACAAGACATCCTGCAGTTCAGCTCCCTGAATCCAGCAGGCCAGATGTTGCAGACGCATACACACTAACACTCAACTAGGGATACACTCTAACGTTAAGTCTGTCTTTCTTCCACATGCATCCAATCATGAACACGTACTGTGCATGTATACAAGAAGGAGCTCCAGGCTGGACACGAGTAGCCCCCTCGCCTACACGTATCCGTGCTGTCAGCAGAAAGCCCTCAGCTGCTCTGTCCTCATGGACTCACACAACACAATGTAGCTCTCTGTACACCACAGCAATCACACAGCGCTAACTCCCACTAGCATGTCTGTATACCCCTCTGCTCATTCCAGATGATGCAGGCCGCCAAATCACAATGATCATGACTTTCCAAAGAGGCATTAATAACATAAAAATGTCCATTTGTATACGGTAAATAATATGAGTTCTCTGATCCCTGATTGGAATTTACTGTTCAGGAGAGGCATGTTGAGAGACTATCCTTCAATATAATAAGTATAACATTAATTTTATAAATACAGACCATTTATATACTGACCTCTGATCTCCCTTTGGAGAGGTGCAAGAAAGACAAACAGCAGTAGATCTAAAATTGTTTCCATAGATGTAGAACCTTTAAATAGATTTAACATTACATGGTATATTTATCTATTAGAATTTTCAACACCCAGAGTTGCTTTTGCAGCTTGATATGTTTTTTTAAGAGAATCACTGTCTGTTGTATCTTTAAAGATAATTCACGTTATGCTGAGGTTATATGTGATTCTCATATGCAGTTGAAGCACAGATCCCAACCGCAATTACAGTCAGGTGTTTCCCTTGAACTAGTAAAGAGCCGAGCTGCCCCTGTAACTGAATGATAAGTTGACTCATAATCAGTCACACTCATTCTCCCCACATGCACACGCATACAAACAGCATTCTCCCAAATGACTCACACAGAATCCAGACTCACTGGGAGGTCACCAGGTCAGGCTCTGCTGGAAATCTTTGGAAGTGACCACACATGCTACTGGTCCCCTTTTACCCCCACCCACACACACACATGCACACACAACTGTGTGTTGTTAGGTTAGATGACTCTGTTGGAGATAACTATCCTCCTCTGGGATGGAGGAGCAAATAAAGAAGTTACAAAGAGCAGAAGAATCTGTGCAATGCTTCTGACTTTCATGGACTATTCTAATTGGTGTTGCTTGGTCAGTAAATGGAGATAAACATGATCAATGTTTGCCAGTCTTAGTAGTGAAGCTCCATCACCATTAGTAAGACTCTCAGAAAATGTCTTGACCTTGACATTCCCTCTTCTCAGTTCAGTTTAATTGTTCGGTTACAACTATTTTAAATATGAAACAAAAAAAGAGTGAAAGGAAAAAACAATGGCTAGAGATGGGATTAGAAAGAAAATGTACATTGTTTTATTTATCTGTCCCCTATAGTTTTCAGATATGCTTTATTTGCATGTGCTAGTCTTTATAAGTGTCTCTCGCTGTGATGTGTATGTATCATGTCTGGCAGCTCTACTTTGATTCAGCACTGCTTCACATTTGACTTATTTCAGTGAGGCGCAAACAAGAGAGCAGACCGCTGCGAGGCCAAGTCTTGCTGTGTGTTTACAGCAATATGCTTGCAATTTCAGCAGCATTTACTCTGCAAGACCAATCAAAGCTGCCCTCCCAAGGATGCTGAGTGGGAAACACTTGTTACATGTGCACTGTGAATTCGATGGTGTTTCAGCATTGACCCTCACACAGCCGCTGCTCATCACATACACACAAATTTACATATACACTGCTAATCCACATATAGATTCGAAGCCAGAATTTCTTCAGAACCACAGGGGTTCAAGGTTTGACCAGCACTTCTTTTTGTAAAAGAAGGCCAGGCTGGGTTGGTTTTTTCCAACATGAACAGGGATCAGTGATTAGCCAGTGAACACACAAACATTCATACACTTTCTTCATTCTCATTTTTCTTACTCAGTCCCAGTCTGAGATAGGGTCATTGAACGAGTCCAGGGGTAACTGCTACCACTTGGAGATGAGAGATCATTCATGCCCTCTGCAGAGAAGCAGCAGGTGATAGATTAGCTTGAACAAATTGGAACCATTACTCTCCAGTGTCCCTGGTTCCCGTCAAGCTATGGGTTTGTCAGTTACTGTATACAAGCCTGTGCCCCTTCGAACCGTCCAGAACCACTCTAATTTGAATCAGATGGCATCTGAGGTGCATGTCACTGGCCTTACTTGATATGAGGCTTTTTTGTGACAGTGGGATTCTACAGATTGGTACCACAGACATCCACACATACTTTTCACATGTGGGCCTTTTGTAATTTTACACTTTGCCACCTGTTTCTGACACAGGCTCTCTCCTGTCAAGAGTCAAGCGTGAAAGTCAGCTCGAGAAATCAAAAGTGGGCTGGGAATGAAAACAATGTTTGCGGTGTTTGCACACACGCACATTACCGACACCAGGTTCAAAGTGGGGTTGGCGTCATGTATGACCTTGCCAAAAAGGCACAGTAACCTGGGTAATAAGCATAGTTGATCTCCCTCACCACTTTGCAGAGCTATATATGTGTGTGTATGTGCCTCTGTCAGACCTTGATGTCCCACTTTCTCCAGTGCTAATAGAGGCTGACACCTGAGAAGGGCTAGTCTCTGATTCCCCCCAGCCTGTTCACATTAAGGCCTGATATGAACACCAACTCCACCTCTTAACCTCCAGTCTTGATGCGTGCTCCTTGCACAGGCCTCTCACTGACAATCCTCTTTAAACACATAAAGTCTCAAAGCAGAAGCAAAGATCTTTCCAATAAAAACACTTGTGTGTGACTGCCACTGTTGGTAAAGCCCTTCTTCAGTGTACTATAGCTGGGCAATAATTGTGCCAAATTTCTTTAAATTATTGATATTTTTCTTTTTTTTTTTAATCTGCCATTCCAAGCCATAAGAAGAACATTTGAAAGAAATGTTACATTGTTCCATGTATTTTCAGCTACATGCTTCAGTCTCAAAGAGGTGTTGCAGTGTAAGTCTTTCTGATAGATCTTGATCCATAAATGCATTATTTTGCAGCTTAGTCTTCCAAAAAAGAAGTCTATCATGGCTTGTAAATAGTTTCAGTTTTTTTTTCCTGTTTTGTGGTTTTAGTTGCTTCTTTTAATGTCTCCTTTGACTGGATATTGAAACCACATGGAACATCACTGTAAAGTGATGACTTGGATGTACTTGACATATGGCTATATAATGCAGTGATATGATTTCATTCGAATTCTGCTAAGATTCTTTTTTTTTCTTTTCTCCAATGCAGTAAAAATGTGCTGCACTGGTTGTTGGATACAGCTGGGTTCCTCCATGGAGAGTTCACACAACTTAAAATCCAGATACACTTAATTCTACTATCAGACAATATAAAAGTGAAACAAATTTACGTTGAATTTATTTGTTAACCTCTAGTAATTGTTTTGTTATGAATGGATAAATGTCCTAATTAGTTGAATTAAAGAATTTAAAATGTCTGAGGTCATTGAAAGCATGATTTTTATGATTTAATAAACTAGCTGTAAACTCTACATATTTCTTTTTCTATTCATGATGTCAGTAAAACAGTTTCAGGCAACAGTCAAATAGACATAAACTGACTTAGTGTTCTACTATTTCTGCAGCTCTGTGAACTTACTTTATGCCTCTATTATATTTTTAAATCTGACCCATTTAAACAATTAGAGATGTGGGAAAGACATACTGCAGCAGATTGCATAACCCAACCCTGTTAATAGAATGTCATTAATAGATGTGTTGTAGCTGCAGTGGAGGGAGTTTTTCTCAGCGTAGATGTCCCCAACAGTCCCAAGAATTCATGCCAGCTTTCTTAGAAATAATAATTGATGCTTTATGCAATGATTTAGCTATTTAAATACAGCAGCAAGTTGAATTAGATAAAGGATATGTCTTTTTTTCACAGACTTTTACACAATTGATATGATATATGGGAAAAAAAGCATTTATATTTTTAAAACAAAATGTTACATCATGTTTAGGTATTTGAGACTTTTTGAGAGACACACACACTCACACTCACATTACCAATAACCATCCATATTTAGACAAACTTTCAGCACTCCAATAGATCTGGATGCAGTAACCTGATGATTTGTCTTGTTTCTGTGTTTTGAGGTAGAAAAGTGTCAGTCGTTGACAGTTGTGTTCCACCACAATGTTGTAAGCAGGACAACAATATTTACCCCCGCTTTCGTGCAGAACATCAGAAAGTGTCCTTACATGGTCTCTAGCAGTAATTTTTATGGTAAACGTGAAAGGGTTGTGTCAAACATCTGCATCTTCATCAGAAATAAGGAAAGGACTTTGATGACATACTTGTGGATATGGCAAAGTTACTTGCCACCGTGGGTCCTCCCAACACAACCAGATGATAACCGCTCGCCGTCGCCTTCATTTTTATTACAGAAACAATGCATCCTGAATCGCCCAGCACATGACCTTTTCTGGTGGCATCTTGGTTCTCTGGCTCTGTGTCTGTCTCTGTGTCTCTGTGTGTGTGTGTCTCTGTCTGTGTGTCAGTCTCTCTGTGTAGACTTAGTTGTGCTAATCACCCTCCCCGGTACAGTTAGAGGTGCTCTGGTGAACCTCCTCCACAGTTGAGAACTGCTACAAATGGTGAAACTTGCTTGAAAGTAATAGATAATAATCATTTATTTGTGATGCTCTTTTTAAAGCACCTTTTTTTTAAAAGGGCTTGATCAGATGACCGGAGCAGCCGACTCCCAGAGTAGGGGCACAAGAGTTCTGTTATATATGCAGGGGCAATGCCGTGCCTTGTATATTATTAATTTTTTTTTTTAAATAAATTCTGGATTAAACTGGGGCGGCTGTGGCTGAGGGGTGTAGAGCAGCTCTCCTCCAAACAGAGGTTTGGTGGCTTGAATCCCATCCCAAGCCCATGCTGAAGTGTCCTTGGGCAAGATGCTGGACCCCCCAAAAGATGGTCCCTCATAGATGTTGAATTCACTCATTTTGATTGTAAGTCACTTTGAATAAAAGCATTAACTAAATGACGTAATTAATAGTTAATTATTATAATAATAACTGGAAGCCAGTGAAGGGATGCAAGAATGAGCGTGATGTGTTATCGATGACTAGTTTTGGTCAACAACCTCATGGCAGCATTGATGAGTGAGTGGTGCAAGTGAAGAGGGAGTTGCAGTAGTCTAAACGAGAAAACATTATGTGCTGAATAAAATGGTTGGTCAAATTTAAAAAAGTTGTGATTCCATTAAATGTTATTTGTATAACGCCAAATAATAATATACCTCATATCAAGGCACTTTACATAGAAGGTCAAAACCTTAAACATTATAGAAAAACCCAACAGTTCCCACAATGAGCAGCACTTTGGCGACTGTGGAGAGAAAAAATATCTCATTAACTGGAAGAAACCTCTAGAACCAGACTCATTGTGGGCAGACATCTGCCTCGACCGGTTGGGAAGGAGGAGGAGGAGATTCAAGATGGGTGGAAAAGAGGGGAGAGAAGAGAGAGAGAGAGAGACCAGGGACAGTTGTGCATCATCAGGTTTCAGCTCTGACTAGAAAATATAGTTTTTTATAATGAAAACAATAAGAATGTAAAGATGTTACTAGTGATAGCAACAATTCATATAATAGTAATAATAATAATAATAATGGTGCAATAATAATAATTGAATTTCTGCAGCTCTGGAGTCAGAGATACCTGCAGAGAAAGAGAGAGACAACACAAAGTAATGTGAATGGACAACATTGCAAGGCAAGGTAGAAATTTTCATTAGTTGCTAAGATCAAGACATCCTGTACAGGGACTGATGAATTGTTAGATATTGCTTGAGTGTTGAAATAGTTTTGGATTAAAAGTTGAAATGGATTAATCCAAGGTGCTTTTCTGAGAGGTTAGCACTGTCACTCCAGAACTGGGGTCTGCGGTGCAGGATGGGTTTTTTTCAGGGTGATGGCAGAAATAGATTTTGGAAAGAGGAACAATTGATAATCAGGACCAGGTCTCCCTCTGCGGAGAGCCAGGCAAAGCCCAGGCCCCATCACTGGCCCTGAGTGGGTGATCGGAGACAGCTTTGTGTGATTACAGATCAGGGAGGGGCTGTTGAGTTTGGGGGATGGAGTAATAGTAAAAAATAGAAAGGACAGAGGAAGAGAGAGGAAGCAGAAAGACGGGTTACATGAAACAGAGAGGGGAGAGGATGAAAGAACATTGGAGGCGAGCAGAGGAACCTGGATGAACAGCTGCGTACACGGTATTTATTCAACCACTGGAACATTTCCTGGTGATAAGTCAAGTGGAAATGATAAGCTACATTGCACAGTGAAATCCACCTTTCCATCTTTCTTCCAATTCCCCTCGCCAGCCATCCTTCTATTTGACCAAGGGCCTTATTTCTACTGGATCAAATAAAAAGAAAATAAAACATTGAGGGCAGAAAGTGTGTGTGCGTGAATTTGTGGTCCAGGAATTACTCATGTTGTGGGGACCTAAATCTGTTAACACATTTATGAGGACTAAAAGTAAGTCTCCATAACGCAAATCCTTAAATTTGAATGTGTAGACGGTTTAGTTAAGGTTAGGTTAAGGTTCAAGTTAATTTTAGGGTATGGGTTAGGATTAGACAAGAAGTAACCATGGTCAAGGTTAAAGTAGGTCTCCAGGAAATGAATGTAAGTCAATGTAATGTCCTCCGAACTCATGGAGACACGACTGCTTGTGTGCGGGCCTCTCTTGGCAGCTCTCCTGGTCATGTCATCTGCTGCTCATACCTGGGAAGGAGACAGACAGGAGGCTTAAAACCCCCGAAAAGCCTCTAAACACTGGCTCCTTGATGAGACCATGAAAAACAGCTGCTGTTGTTTTCGGCTGCTTCCTTCTCCCATCATCATGACCAAGTGGAAAAATGGGATAATGGAAGTGGTGTAAAACGGCATTGAGTTAAGTCATGTGTCTCTGTAAATTCCAGTCAAGTGTTTGAAGGCTGTACTGCATCAGAGAGTGAGGAAGAGGTAGAACAGGGGATGCTGACGACTCTTGGATTTATGTGTCTGGAATGTCATGTTACGATATCTTAGTGAGACAGCCAGTAATTGTGTGTTTGCATAAAAGAAGAAGGAAGAGATTGAGACTGGACAAAGTTGGTATCTTACAGGTTCAGGTTAGAAAAGCAGAGTAGACTTCACAGTTTGAATTACGAGACATTGCCATGCAGCCATGGTAATGTCTCGTAGGTTAGGTGGCAAAGGATCTTGCTCTGGTGCACTGATGAATCATGGCTTCAGCAAAGACCCCCGCCAACAGTGAATTTATTAACTTTTCACCTGAGTTTAACATAGTTAAAGGAGTCTCACTTAACAGTCACTAGATTGCTGAACAGAGAAAATATCTAAGATATTTATTTCCCATTCACAAACACAGAGAAAAGAAATGTATGTTTTATTCTGTGTACCTCGGTCATGAGGTAGCTTGGGTTTTTTTCCCTCCAACACTAAAGGCGTTAGTTACATGTTTTTGTAGTTTGTGTCTTTCTGCCCCATGTTCTTTGTTATTCAGTACTTCATACACACAGGATCAGCACTTTTGTGACTTTAGAGCTGGATCAGAAACTGCCCATATAAAATTGAAAAAAAAATCCTTGATCATTTTTGATATTGTCTCTTCTCTTTACCCTTTCACCTCCCATCTTTTTAAAATGTATTTGTGGAGTGGTCGTCCTCCAACCAGAAGGTCTTCCCCATCTGCATGCTGGAGTGTCCTCGGGCAAGATGCTGAAACACGACTTTCCCCTCATAGAACAAAAAAAGTGCTGCTAGTAGATGCACTGTGTGAATGAGTGAATGGCAAACTGCACTGTAAAGCACTTTGAGTTGTCATCAAGACTAGAAAAGCTCTATGTAAATACAAACCATTTACCATTCCTTTCTTTCTCTCTCCAAAGCTGAGCTGAACGTAGAGCTATCAAGGCCACTGAAAATCAACCCTACCCTGGCTAAGCTGGAGCAGGCCAAAGCCTACCTGAAGAAAGTCCTGCCAAACCATGTGTGGGATACCTCCAGTCATCAACTGTCTGCTTCCTCCACACCTCATTCCTCTCCCACGAGGATGCTACCCAGGCCCATTCTCTCCCGTTCAGACCCTCACCATCAGGCCTCAGCTCTGGGTAAAACCAGCAACCTCAGGAGCCTGGCTTTGACCTTCCATAAGGTCTCTATCCACACTGCCCAGATTGTAATTGTCATGGAGACGGAGTCTCATCCAAAGAAGCCCAGCGTGACTGTGTCAGTGTCAGCCATGACAGGAAGTCTGAACATGAAGTCAGGGCCTCGGATAGAAGGTGAGTAAACGACAAACATCTTTCATGTGCAAAAGATAAAAAATTACATTGTGCTTATGTGGATTACAGGTGCAAAACCATAAAACTGTATGTGCAGCAATTTTCTGAGTTGAATTATAATCAACACCAAAGCAAGCATGAAACATAATAAATACTTTTTTATAGTTCTTCAAATCCTTTCTCCAGTCAATGCTCATTGAATTGTTAATTATTAGTTATAGATTATACCAGCCAAAAAAAAAAAATGTTTTGCTGTCTGACCTCTCATTAGTCATTAGTTCAAGCTAACTCATACCTAACTGTTAGTTGCATAGCCTCTGATGATTGCTAAAACATTTCATTTGTTCTTTTCACCAACTCCCTACTCGTGCGTCAGAGCTCAGTAAATGACCCATGTTGTATCACTTCAAAGTAACAAGGATCTGGACTCCCTTACTTTTTCTAATGTGAAAAGCAAAAAACATCAAACCAGTGATGTAATTCATCGTATTCTGCTTTACTTCAAGATATTGCCACTTGTTTCAGGGAAATTCTTGAAACAGGTGGAGCTGCATTGGAAACAACTGCGATGACTTCACCCTATTTGGCAGATTTTATCATATTTTAAAGAAACCACATAGACTCTGTAGTACACAACACCAAATGTGCACACTTTCTTTTGTGGTGTGTCGTTTTGTCTCGTACCCTAGCTCACCATGTGTGCCAACAGGAACTAGGCCAGGCCCTTTGAAAGTAAAGTACAGTTATACAAAGCTCCAAATATCCAATAAAATTGTAGTGAAGAACAAATTGTTCTGTTTCTTTTCATTATGTTATGCAACCAAACAAATATTTGATGTGGATAAACTCTAAAGTGCTGTACCCAGTTCATCCAACTCTTACATTTGTTACATATCTATGATTAAAATGTGTGTTGTAACATGTTCCCTCAGGAATGTGTTTAATCAAATAGCAGGTTGTAGCCTGAGCATATGGATCTACTGTACATGGTCGTAGTTTTTGAATGTTTATTGATCAGTATCTCATTGTGCAGGACTTAGTCATACTTTCCACTTACCACGCTTGTTTGTTGAAGAGGAGACTTCTCAGCCTTTTTGGATAATTTGACATTGTCCTTCACTCATACTGTGAAAGTTTGGGACTAAATAACAGCATTATTTGCAGTATTGCTGTTTTTAAGCAAAGTATTCATCTGCCAAGACCAAGGTTTGCCAGTAAACTGTAAAGTGAGATGTTTGTGTTAGTCTTGGATCATGCGTTGCTGTGAGACTGTGTGTTTATTTGATTGCGTGGATTTGGTGTGTATTAGGTTTAGATATTTTCATGCACTAATGTTTGAGTGTGAGTGAGATGTTTGTTTTCATGTTAGGACCAAACCCTGCCTTCATCAACACTGACTCTAATCCGGGAGGCATCACAGTGTTTCCATCATGACAATCAGATATGCTAATAGTAACATAAATTAAAAAGGTTCCAATGTCTCTGCGCCACTGGGTGTGAGTCAGCGTGCTGTAACAGATGATCAGGGATTTTTGGTTTGTTTTTCAGATTTTGTTATTCTTTGGCACATCCTCAAAATTGGACATTTGATAGAAACACAAGGATAAAAGAGAGCCAGGGGCTGATGTGCTGCATTCAGTACATGACAAGGAATCAGTTGACTCCTAATTTAGCAGGTAGATGTTTTCTTTACCTCAGTGCTGCTGAGCAACACATTCCGTGTGTTGGGGGTGCGAAGGGACAAGGACAGAGTTGGAACTGGGCTCTCTAAGCACTAGCATCTGTTTAGCAGATGTTGTCATATAGGGTTACTTCAGATAAAATGATTGTCAAAAATGTTAATTAAAACCTCAAACAATTTGCACTGTTTACGCAAATCTGCATAACTGCACGGTGATACATACTCAGCCCTCCTGCCCTGCCCTGCTTTTCACTAGCTTTTCAGCTTTTATCCATATTTCACAGTTTTGAAACTGTGTGTGCAATGCAATGGAAAAAGAAATGAAAGCAAGTCCCCTTCCACTCACTTTCCATTAGAATTCACTCTACTATTCATAGTGAGAGCTTTTCCTTCACATACACTTTACATCAGATTTGTTCATCTGTGGTGGTTCTTTGATGCATTAGTGTGCAGTGACTTGCCTTTTAACCGATATTATTTTCTCCACCTTTCCAGCTCCTCGAAAAAGGCAAATAACAATGGTGGAATCAAGACCACTACATCATTTCTCCTCAGTTTAGCTCTGAACTCGTCATTATGGCTCAGAAAACATAAGACTGTGTATGTATGTTCTGAGAAAGACATTATAATAACCTCATAAAACTAATATTGTCATCATGTCCAGTAAAAGCTTCATTCAGCTCCTCTTATATCATATTTGAGTCCATATATCTCATAGATCATTATAGACCCTGATATTTTAACACTTGGCGCATGGTCAAACTTAATGTGGAATAACACCTGTATATGTGTCCAGCAGAGAGCTTCAAAGTTTACCTAGATGATCTTTTTTGTAAAGGAAAAAGGTATTGAAAGTAAATGTCTTAAGTTATCCTGCTGAATAACATGTTTGTCTCACCCAGTTGTTTTTTCCCTCTTGATAACTTAAGCAGTCTTATAGATCTCTGTCACAAGACACGTGGTTATTTTCCCAGAGGGCTTCTTCACATAGTGTTTCCAGATTTGTTGACTTTGCAAGGAGACAAACTGTCTCAAATTACGCAGACTGATGACTGGTGACAATAGATGTATCTGCTGACTCTTAGCCTTAGTTGCACCACCTCCATCACTCACCACAGGGCGGCCTCTCCAGCTCGCTCCATACCTCAGAAACGGATACCTCGGAATTCTAGGATGATAAAGGGTAGGATTCCCATTCTGTAAGTTTGAGCATTTGAGCTGCCACAATAAGTCAGCGTGAATGGCCCCCCTGGGAGAAGCTGTACATGAGAGATGTAAGACAGGAGAATGTAGTATTACAGCTGCAACAGTATGTACCACTACTGTTGCTGCTTTTGTTGCACTGCTGCTTCTCAGTGGCAGACTGAGATTGATAGACCACATCCTGAGCAGACCTCAGGATGATGCCAGTTTGTAAGAGGAAGCAGGAGAAGGAAGGGAAAATAGTTACGAAAGAGGGGAAGCAGGGAGGCAATGGAGATGCAGAAGAAGAGGGAGGGATGAAATTAAGGGGATGTACAGATAAAAATGTGGAGAGAAACACAGAAAAACCGAAAAAGCCTAAGAAAGATAATACATTTATGAGTTGAAAAAGGGCAGATAAGGGAAGCGGTTGATTGGAAAAAGGCAGAGAGGCCGAGAAATGAAGGAGAAATGGGCAGAGGGGGAAAACAGAAGACTGGCAGATTACTCTGTGTGAGCACTAACAGGGGTCTCTTCAGTAGATGTCTTTGCACTCACCCCGCCCCACCCTGTCTTCATTAACGTACATTCATAGCTGCAGTGGGGTGAAGACTCTGTCATCCCACCACCCCCACTCCTCATCCGTGGAACATCTGGGGCTCTGTACCTGGTCATGGCAGCTCCCCTCTGCCAGGGGACAAGATGGAGAGAGAGGGGATTAGGTTGACAGTGAGGTGTGTTACCAGATCCTGTGTTAATGAAAAGCAAGTGGAAGCCCCACATTCCTCCCTCCGTCCACAGCTCACCCCTCCCCAAGGTAGGGGGGCATTTATAGTTCAATGAAAGAAAGGTTGGGAGGTGGGCAAGAGAGAGAGAACAGATGTCTTAAGGTCCATGAAACAAGACCCTCCCTAATCTCTCAGCTCTCCGTCAGACTGCCCATAGAGTGCCCCCGATTTCCTATGAGCATGTCCCTGCGCGCACACACACACCAGTAACTCTGTTACTAATGTGCACTTTTTCATATGCATACAATAACACACACTCACACACACACACACACACACACACACACACACACACACACACACACACACCTAAAGCTTTCCCCTCGGTCCTTTGCCTCTGTGGAACCCTTGCTTTTTCATGGTGATTTACTCCAGCACACTTGCAAAGGAAAACATATGTTCTTTGAATGAAGTGAAAACTACCTACTATTTATTTATGTCTCCTCTTTTTTTCCAAGTTTTATTTTGTTTCCCTGGCCCTGGTCATGTCGGTTTGTTTACTCTGCTGAAAGAAAGCCACTCTTTTCCATTTATCATATTTTCTTCTGTTCTGATAGTCGGGGAGAAACAGAGCTGTGTGAAGCCAAACTTTAAAAAAATGTATCTTTGGAAATGCACCCTGCTGTGATTTGGCAGCTAAACCCATCTAATAAATTGTTTTCACTGTATTAATAGTAGAAATAGAGAAGACATGACACACACTCATCCTGGTGGGGACATTTAAGCTGAAGAAGTTTGAAAGAATAATTTATTAGGGCTGTCGCTAATGATTATTTTGATCAGTAATCAATCAGACAAATATGACCTTGATTTACCATTACATAGTTGCTTAGTTGGTCAAAAGTGATTCAAAATCGTTGCTCCCAACGCGACACAAAAACTGAGGAATACCTACATTTCTTTCAGTATATCTTCATGAAGGGTACATTTATTTCAGGATGTGGACTGCATTGATGTTCGTACTTAATACACTGGCAACTGATGGAATGCATGCTCTCTCTAGTTTCTCACAAAAATATACTGCAGCTTATGTGGGAATGACCATAAAACTTACCTACACAGAGTAAGGCACTGTAGACCACAAGCACAAAACTTGACTACACAAGTAAACTCAGGACTGAGATTAATTGTCCTAATGCAGAACAAAACAATGTGAAAGCAAAATCAGAGGTTGTTTAAGGTCACATGGTCTCCTCACACTGAAACTTCTCCTCAGCAACATTAATCTTTATTTCTTCTTTTACTGACCATTAGATTTCCAGGCTAATGTAACGCATAATATTAGGTCAGACACGCTGTTTCTTTTTCTTTCCCTGTTGGGCACTGCATGCCCTACGTGTAACATATGA